CCAATTATATTCACAGTGGTTTAGTAAGTTGTACACTAAAAGAAAGATAATTTTTACTTCTGTGAAGATACATAAAAACATAGATGTGCCTGAGCTTAGGTACTGCCACTTTAGTATCTGATTGTCTAATACATTAGCTCTTACTACAGGAAAAAAGTTGTCAAATGTGTGGCAAAAATTAAAAGCAATGCTTTTAAGACTTTTTTTTTTTTTAAAAAAAATTGAGACGGTTTCCCTGCACATCAGTCTTTCATTCAGGCAGGAAAAACAAGTGAACACTGAAGGATACCTTTAAAGATGTACATTTCTTCTGGATGAAGCCAATATCTCAGGAAGGAGGTTTAAAAGACTATTTCTTAATAAGTTGAAGATTTTTAATGCAAAGTCAAAAACTATGCCAACAGCACTTGATCACCCAAAGGAGTTTTATATATGAGAAGATATATCTTGACTTTAATTGTTTCTATTTATTTGTAAAATATATTCGTGTACATATGTAAAAGTTATTGTATATATTGCTGAAGTAATTAAAGCTATATTCATTTATAGACTGGTGACAAAGGTTTCTCAAAACGAATATGTTACATGAAAAAATATGCTGCAATGATCATTTGTTGTTTCGAGACATCTCTACTTTGTATATACTGATATTTGCAAACATTAAAAGAAGCCATTGTTAATAAAATCTCTGGAATGATTTGCTATATTTGCCGAACCAGAAGAGAGCATGTTGGTGGGGGAAAAAATAAACCAATGGTTATCTGTTTGAAATTAGCATCTCTGTAAAACCCAGTTGTGCAGACACACTGGGCCTTTATATTTTGGGCATCTGACAGTGCACCAAATGCAACAACTTTTTTTTTTGGCCATGTTCTTTTTTAATCTCATTCCCAGGTCAAAAATGAGTCAGATTTGAGTCATCCTTAGTTATGCTGGATATTAGAAAAATGTATGTTTCTCCGTTAAACTGGCATCATCCAATTATAGCAGCAGGGGATGTTGAATACGCTAGGATTGCTGTACAGAATTGTGGTATATTCTGTAGTGGGATGAATCTCAGAGATGTATACTGACCATTTCAAGCCCAGATAGGCAGACACCTTCTCAGATCCACAGTCGGTCTTATTTATAATTATGTTGCTGACATTTTGAAGAGCTGATCTCAGCAGTGTTGCAATAATTATCCTTTGGATTTGCAGAAAAGCAATTCAGCAACCTTTTAAAGTACAAAGTACAACCTTTTTGTATTCTGATTATTGTACCTTAACTGCATGTAAATTATTTCCTCCCACCGATATGCTCCTATAATATTTAATGCAGCATGATAGTTGGGTGTTGCTCTTTTACACCCTCTATAGTAGTCATTCTCAAAGTATGGGCTATGGACTGCAGGTGATCTGCAGAGATCTGCCAGGGAGTCGGCCATAGCCATCCCATTTTCAGGGGCCAGAGCACATTCTTTATCTCACCCCTGCATTCCCATGGTGGCCAAGAGATGGTGAAAGCCTTATTATCTTAAGACCATGGGTGCAAACACAAGGCCCGCAAGCTGCATCCGGCCTGCAATGCTTGATCTGGCCTGCAGGGCCATCCTGGAAAATGTAATCTAGCCCACGTGGCTTTGGTTCGGTCTACCCAATGCGAAGTGAAAACATCAGGTCAGTGTGGCTTCAGCCTGGTCTACCCAGTGCGAAGGTGGAAACAGCAGTTTGGAGACTGGCATCAAGCTGGCCATGCCCACCCAGTTGGTCACACCCACCTGGTCTCCCAAGGTCAATGCAGCCCTAATGTGGCCCTCAATGAAATTGAGTTTGACACTCCTGCCTTAAACCCTGCCACTCCATAACACCTGGCAAGTAGTTCAAAAGAAAATCTGAATGGCTGAACACTATCCATTAAACCATACAAGTGATAATGTGAGTAGTCAAAGTAAGAAAAGTGATAATAAGTCTCAAGTGCAGCTTTGGACTGAATCTGCATGTATTTGCGTTAAGTGAAACGCTCTTGCAAAAAGAAAAATGAATCTACAAATGAGATTTGATTAAGCTGGAGATCTTCCCTCCAGATCTTCCTTAGTAATTGAGAGGTCTGTACTGAAGAACATTAATGACCAAGTGATTCAAGTGATAAACAGTTGCTTTTGATTAATTTGGGAGTTCAATATTGAAGAGACCTTGGGTGTAAACCAAATGGACCTATAATCATCTGCCAAAAAGAAATGAGTTGTTAGTATGCTCTTTAAGATGAAAATACAAGAAGTGGGTTGTTTGCTAAATAGGGTGATTTTTGCATTTTCTAAATCAATGACAAACGTAATGGTTCACAACTGTAGAAAATTTGAGAAGTGTTGGCAGTAGACTGCTTGGTTGGCAGGTTTATACATGTTTTAACTCTGGGTGCTATCAATGCTACCAATTGCTACCAAGACTGCCATAATAGAATGGTGGGACCAAGTCTTCCTCCATTTCAAATTATCTTCTGAATGGAACATTGAATCTGGAAGTTTGCCTTTCTGACACGTATAAATAAAGGGCATAGATGTTTTAAAATAAAAGCATTGGTTGTGATTCGGCTCCCTTTGGAACTGCTCTGTTAAAAATAAAAAGAATAGGTTATAGCAGGAAGCGACACAGAAAAAGCCAAATTCTGCAGCCAGTACATTTCTGCTAACGGTGCCATGATTATCAGATTTCGTTCCCTCTGGGATGATGCAGAAGAGATGGCAGCAAAGTTGGAAGAATCAACCAATTTATTTATCCAATTCTGCACACGAATAAGCAAAGCAGCTCCATTTGGCACTGACTTAGAGACAACAGAGATAGGATCTATACACTCAGCATTGTTTTCTGCTGACCCATGAATCAATGAATTGCATTTGAATTTAGCAGTGTGGAAAGGCTCTTAGTATTTGTAAGTATGCCTATATTAAATTAGGTGGTGTGGCTTGATAGTCCATACAAAGAGCATACCAGAAATTCTAAGATGAGCCATGTAATTCTGGACACGACCACCCATTCAGGTTCTAGTGCCTGATTCTGTGATTTAGTTTGAGTAGTTTGGTTTTCATTTTTCAGGCATGTCTGGAAAGTAATCTTGATGGTGTTCTCAGCCTTTCTATGGGTGCGCTCCTCAGACTAATAAATTATCAGTATGCCATGGAAAACCTCAAGGAATAACTAGAACAGACCATCACAGCAAAGCACATAGTCATGATCAACATGTCCAGTCACTCACTACTGCAGAACACAATATTCTACAGAAAAGCTTTATAACACAGATTAGGCTAATCAACTAGAATCCTTTGCAGCCTTGGAAGGTGCGTTTAAAACCACAGGACTTCCCACAGAGATCCAAGAAAGAATAAGACAAATTATCATTCTACAGACCAGAAGAAGATGAGAACAAAACTAACTCAAAGCAGAGGGCAGAGCAGACCTCAAAAACCTAAAGAAGACTGAACCATAATAGGTAGGTAGGTAGATAGATAGATAGATAGATAGATAGATAGATAGATAGATAGATAGTGTGTATGGTATTCAGCTTTTTTCGGGTATTTTCCCATGTCATTATAGTTGTGCTTTTAAAGTTGTAGCAAAAGCACAACTATAATGATGTGGGAAAATACCCGAACAAAGCTGAATACCATACATATAAATACCCGTGAAAACAAAGAAACTTACATCCTAGTGAACACCAAACCAATACAGAAACTAGACAATTGAATCAAAAGAACTCTCAGGGACCTTAGCAAGAAAGGTCAAATCACTCAAGAGGAACAATCAAATGCCAACAAGGAGAAAAAGAAAATACCTTCTCATCAGCAATGAACACCCATATGAGTAGAGATTAACACCAAGATTAATACTAGACCAACAATCAAAGAGCAAATAATATTCTAATCAAGAAACCACCAACTCAGACAAACAAGCTAACAGTAAACAACAACTTAATCAAAGCACCACCAAATCCACTCCTACCAACACTGACAGGGCAAGCATTAGTATATAAAATAAGGGAAAACCCCACTCTCTTCTTACACTGATTATGTTGCCTAGTTTGGTAATGAGATGTCTGCAAGAAAACAACCAAGCTCAGAACACAAAGATATAATTTGTTATCTAGTTTTCCAAAAAGTTAACTACCAGATATATAACTCCTTCAAATGTACGAAACCTAGACGTCATCAGCTAAGCTGAAAACAACTAAGATAACAACTTTCCTACAGATGATCATAATTATCATCAGCTACCCTCCTAGTTTGTAAAATACATGGATGATCATTTGGTGTTGACCAAGAAAAAGGATGTTTTTCTATGGCAGACCATCTTTGTAGATGCAGTCTGAAATTGATACTATTTATTGCAATTTGCCATTTCTGCAAAGAAATTAGGGGCAAATTACACTCCATGTCAGAATTCATAGCTTAATTCTAAAATTAGGCAGAGGTGTCTGTGGAAAAATAGCTCTTCTGGTCAGAAAGACATTGTGTTATGACACAATGTGTGTCTCTTTGGCTCACAGATGCAACGTCACAATACCTGTAGGAAAGAGCCAGATTTTCCATTGTGATACTACAACACTGCCTTCGTCCATGTATTCCTCCTTGCATATGCCTCTGAAAGCAGATACTGTTTTGTGCATGAAATACAAACTTTCATGATTCCCCTTGGTGACGAAACTCCAATGAGTAGATCATGTCTGCAACATAAAATAACAGGATTCAAAGCATTTCCATTTCCCAGCTCAAATCCTCTCTGCATTAAAAGAAAAAAAGGAAACTAAAATTGTGCTGAGCGTTGCATCTTGAATAGCTTGAGATATAGTGACATGAAGTAAGGAAGAAGGACGAATTTATTAAACTGCTCAGGTAAGCTTCTGCAGATGTTGCAGGGAAGATAGACTAAATAAAAATTAAAAAGCCAACTTTTTCCAGCCTAAAGTGGGGGGTATGTGTGTGTGGACAAACCAGGGAGAGAGAAAT